GGCAGAAAATCTCTCTGGCATTATTTACTAATTTTCAAACAAAATGTCTCATGTCCATGGATTGTTAGAGGGGATTTTAATTCAATTATCAACAATGAAGAAAAGATTGGATGAGCTTTAGTTTCTATTCAGAAACTGAGGATTTTCAGGATTTTATTTCATCTTGTCAGCTTGTCCATCTCATATCCACTGGGTGCTTCTTCACCTGGTGCAATAAACAAGAATCAGATACAAGAATCTTCTTCACCTGGTGCAATAAACAAGAATCAAATACAAGAATCTAGTGTAGACTGGATAGAATCCTGCTAAATGAAGATTGGATTCAAAAGTATACCTCAAGTCGGGTGGATTTTCTAGCTCCAAATTGCTCAAACCACTCCCCAATATTAATTACTATTGAAGATGAGAATTTTGTGGGTAAAAGACCATTTAAGTTCTTCAAAGTGTGGACTAGTCATCCAAATTTCCTCTCAACAGTTAACTCAGTCTGGAATCAGGATGTTAGAGGCTATTACATGTATAAGTTACATGCCAAACTTAAAAATCTCAAACATGTTCTTAAAGAGCTGAACAAGAAGCATTTCATGAACATTAGTGAGCAAGTACTGAGGGCTAAAGAGGAGCTTACAGTGGTTCAAAATCAATTGAATTCTGATCTATTTAACACTATGCTCATTTCAAAAGAGAAAGATTGTCTCAACAAATATGTTAGACTGCTCAATTGTGAAACCTCTTTCTATAGGTAAAAGGCTAATATCAAATGGGGTTTAAATGGAGACTAATGTACGCAATTTTTTCACTCTATTATGAAAGCAAAAATGTATCACAACAGAGTGTTGTCTCTTTATTTTGAGAATGGTGAAAGGATAACTGATATGGACAATATCATCTCTGGATTTATTGGATACTATGAAAAACTTTTGGGGCACTAAAGTTCCTGTTACATGCCCTAACCCTGAGGTGATTACTAATGGCCCGATTCTCTCTTCTGCTCAATCCAATGGTCTGAGTCTTCCTGTGTCTAGAGAAGAGATAAAACATGTTATTTTCTCTTTGTCTGATGATAGAGCTCCTGGTCCTGATGGCTATAATGCTTCGTTCTTCAAAGCAGCTTGGAACATAATTGATGAAGATCTTTATCAGGCAATTGAGGAGGTCTTTTGCTCTGGTAAGCTTCTGGGTACATTTAATTCTACTTCGATCACTTTGGTACCTAAGGTTCTTAATCCCAAAACTCCTTCTGATTTTCGACCGATCTCCTGTTGCAATTGTGTTTATAAGATTATTACTAAAATCATTGCTGGCAGAATTCAAAAAGTAATGAGTTTTATTCATAGTGATGCTCAAAGTGCATTTGTTAAATGGAGATTAATTTCAAATAACATCTTGCTTGCCCATGAGCTCATCAAGTACTATGGTAGGAAGCATTCTTCTCCACGAACTATTCTAAATATTTATCTTAGAAAATCTTTTGATACCATTAGTTGGGATTTTATTAAAGATATGTTGGAGGGTCTGGGTTCCCTAATATCATGATTATGTGGATCATGGAATGTATCTTTACCCCTAAATTCCCATTGTCACTCAATGGCTCTCTCCATGGATACTTCAAGGGTGCTAGAGGGTTAAAGCAAGGGGATCCCTTCTCTCCTTACCTATTTGTGCTAGGCATGGAATACCTGTCAAAGAGCTTAATTTCCTCAACAATGATGGTTTATTCAGATTCCATCCAAAGTGTTCTAGATTGAAAATAACCCACTTGTTCTTTGCTGATGATCTGCTGCTTTTTGGGAGAGCTGATATGAATTCTATTATTAAACTCAATAGCTGCTTACAAGAATTCAGTCGGGTATCTGGACTGGAAACAAATATAAATAAATGCTCTATTTATATGAGTGGTATTGATGAGAAACTTAGACTTCAAATATGCTCGTATCTAAATTTTTCGAAAGGGATTTTGCCAGTAAGGTACTTAGGTATGCCTCTAATTACGAAGAGACTATCTTGGATGGATTGCTCCCCTCTAATTAGTAAGATATCTAGAAAATTTCAAAGCTGGCAAAAGATGAGGACGCTTTCTTATGCTGGTAGATTGCAGCTGATAAAATCAGTCATATTGAGTATTCATATTTGTTGGACTAACAATTATATATTCCCGAGCAAAGTTCTTATGAAAATTGACAAGTTGTGCTCTTATTTTCTTTGGAATCATAAAATACCCATAGTCTCCTGGACTTCAATTTGCAAAGTTAAAAAGTGTAGAAGCTTAGGAGTTTTCTCAGCTAAGATATGGAGGGATGCAGCAGCTTTGAGGCCCTTGTGGATGATTCATCTCAAGAAGGATATCCTTTGGATAAAATAGGTGCACGGGAATTACTTGTAGCAGCCTGATATTTGGTAGGTTCGGGCAAGATTGAATGATTCTTGGATGTGGAAACAACTTATAAAAGCTAGAGACAAGTTGATAAGGAGATTGGATAGTGTCAGCAGCTTGCAAACCATCGTAGCAAAATGTTGTATTGGTGAACAAATGCATATATCTTCTATTTACAGGTTTCTGATACACCCTTCGAATCAAGTTATCTGGGCTGACAAAGTTTGGGACAATATTCACTATCCTAAACACTCATTAATATTATGGCTAGCTGGTCAATCAAGATTATTAACACAAGACAGATTATGTCGCATGAGGATTCTTGACACAAATCAATGTATACTATGTACAAATTTCCAGGAAACCTATTGCCACCTATTTTTTGAATGTCAATTTTCAGCAATGGTATGGAATAAGGTGTTGGATTGGCTAAAGTTTAGTTGGAGATTATGTTCATGGAGATGCATCATTAGATGATATAGTTTCAGACTAAAAAAGAGGGGTTTTATGGAGAAATTGAATCGTATGGTCCTTGCAGTCTTGGTTTATTGGATATGGTAAGATAGGAATCTTAGAATTTTTCAGTGTAAAGCTCGACAACCTGAGGTGATATTTCGAGCTATTAAAGCCTCCATTTTCTCTAAAATTTTGAATGATAAATATCCATTTCATACAAGAGAGAGATTTGAGGAGTTGTAATAGTGTTCTCTTGAGAGTTGAGTTCCAGATATTTTTCTGGCTTGATAGAAGATGTAACAAATGCTCATTTTGGTTATGAATAAAAGTTTTTCATTAAAAAAAAACACTTTTCATCTTCTCATTTTCATTTCTCCACAGTGAAAACCATCGTCTTGTTAAACACTTTTCATCTTCTCATTTTCATTTCTCCACAGTGAAAACCATCGTCTTGTTTAAAGACTAAAGTACCCTTCACTCTTGCAAGAAGTAAAAAAAAAAAAAAATTTCTCTGAAATATCGATCACATGATATGCATATATATGACTTCATTTGAGGAGAAATTTTATAGGGAAGAGTGAAAGTTTTAGTTATAAAGCTTTGGGAATTTTCTCAAACCTTACTGGATTTTTGTAGATTTCTCTTATAAATATGAAGGTTTCGATTCTTAATATACAAGTAAGAAAGACCTGGGTCTAATATAGAAAAGATTAATTTCATATAACCCATTGAACTTAGGAATATTGCTAATAACCTTTTAGAATTTTGTTTATCCCATATGACTTTCTTAAACTTTGGGTTGTCCCACAAATAATCACTGAAACTTTAACATCTTTAAGTGACTCTTCCTATCTATAATTTGTAAATAACTAAATATTGTTGAGAGAAAAAAAAAATCTCAAACCTTGCGGTTCTCGTTTACAAGTAATTTACCCCCTTCTCCTAAATTTCTGGCTTATTTATCTAATGAAAATTTGTTATTAACAAATTTTTTAGAAGAGGGTCCCATAAAAAGTTTGACTTTCAGGGGGTGTTAGTCAATTGGGACATTTTCATGCAAAATGGGATAATTGTTAAAGTGGAATAATGTTTCGCTAGTGGGATATTTTAGTGGGATAACTAGCTAGAAACAATTTTGTGAAGCGGGATATTTTGATAAAATAACGTGGGATAAATTTTTATAATCATGAAGTATATATTTATGCATTTTGAAGATATAAATACTATTTATGTATTTTAAACTTACTATTATTGATTGATAATTGCTTATAAGAATGTTCTTTACTATTAAATAATTTTTGGTTAGACTATAAGATATTGATAATTATTATTATTATGATGGTCTAATAATGGTGATAACCATAATAGGAAATATGTAAAGAAAAAAAGAAAAATAAAAAATAACAAAATAACAAAATAAATATGAGTTCTAGTTTTTTACCACCTAGTTCCAAGCTAAAACTTGGAATAATTTGAGAGACTAGAACTCTCATTTGTGTATAGAAAAATAAAAAAAGTGGGATAATTTTGTACCATTATCCTAATTCTAGTTTTGTTAAAGTTCTACTTGACTAACACTGTAAAATTTTATTCTAGTTTTAGTTCTATGTGACTAACACCTTAAAATTTTGTTCTAGGTTTAGTTCTATGTGACTAACACCTTAAAATTTTATCACACGGATTATCTCAGTTCTAATTTAAAGTTCTAGGTGACTAACCCCCTCAAAGAAACACGCCCCAAAGAGGTAATAAGAGGGGAAAACAAAAGATTAATCAAAAGCTTATAAACGAACACAACAACGGAGCCCCAGAAAAACAACCCCACGCTTTAACAATAAGGAAAAGTTTTTAAGGACCCAAAATATGGGACCAATAGGGGGGACAAGTGAGGTGTCCCCCTCCTATTGGATAATGAGTTGGCCATTATTAATGATGGCCAACTCATTATCCAATAGGAGGGGGACATCTCACTTGTCCCCTTTATTGGTCCCATATTTTGGGTCCCTGTAGCAAAGCTCTAACAATAATTGGCCACAATCCTTTACAAAATCATACGTGGAAGATTATCATTGGATAGTTTCCTCCCGATGACCCGATCTGACGTGGCAGAACTTATACCGCATTGATATATAAAAGCCGGGGTCAAAAAAAATAGCGTCAATACCGACGAAGCCTTTTTCAAGCTAATCATAAAAATTCTTCTCTCTCTCTCTCTCTCTCTCTAAAAATTCTCACTTTCGCGATCGATCTCGATCCAAATTAGGGCTAGGTTCGTTTTATCGCCTCAATCCTCTGGAGATTGAAGCTCGTTGGGATCTGATTTGTTCCTCGTTCGATCGATTAGCGTTAGGGTTAGGGTTTGGAATTTGGGGATGGCGCAAGCTGTGGAGGAGTGGTACAAGCAGATGCCGATCATCACTCGGTCGTACCTCACCGCGGCTGTTATCACCACCGTCGGATGCTCCCTTGAGGTATTTTGACTTTTTGATTTTTTGATTTTTTTGGACCTTTGCATGTGAGTAGTTAGGGCGGATACGAGCTGATTGGTGATAGAAAAATGTGATTTTGTCTTATTTTTTTATTTGGTAATTGAAAATTTGAAGAGATTTCATGTATTACTGGTTGCTGGTTGGATCTGTGTAGCGCATGTCGTGTTAAACTGCGTTAAATTAAAGTGCTAGTTTGATCTGAACTGTTGCAATACTTGTTAAGTTGTTATCATATTAGTTAATGCGCTACTAAAGGGCACAAATCGCGAATAGGTGTTTAAAAATAAATCAGGTTGGAGGTCTTGAGTGTGTGATTGATTTTAGAAGTGCGAGGATTAAAAGTGGTCAGGTAAAAGAGTGGGCTTAATATCAAAACACTATTAATGATAATGATTTTTTACTTTTTTTAATAACTTTTTTGCATTAAATTTTTTTGAGACACCATACTTATGTCCTGTAGATTGAAGTTTGAGCACTTAATAAATTGTGGGTTTGTCTGTCTTTGTAGATTATATCACCGTATCAGTTGTACCTGAATCCAAAACTTGTAGTTCAGCAGTGGGAGATATGGCGCCTCATAACAAACTTCTTGTACTTTCGGAGAATGGGTAAAGTCAAACCTTTAGTTCATTTGTTGTTGGTCGTGAAAATCAATGCAAATCTTTAATTTGACGTTTCATTTGTTAATGTCATTTGCTTATTGTTTAGGCTTTTCAATTTACACATGCTTACGTAAAGAGTTAGACGAGGAAAAAGAAACAGCATCTTCAAAACTCCAAACTTCCACGATTCGTATACCAAGTTGCTGTTTCTAGTCTTTCTACTATTTTCTGTTGAGTAAGAAAAGAATAGTAATTTGTTTCTAAATTAGCTAAAATCAAATCTTTGGCGAAAATTCATCAGTTATAGTTTAATACACATCCCTATGCAGGTGTTGGGAGCTTATTGTTCTCCTTGCTAAGTTTTCAATGACAAGTTACATGTAGACAATAAACTTGTAGCTAATAGACATTCCTGTCTTGAAAACTTCAATCTATTTTTATGCCGTCCAACTTAAGGGTTAGAAGGATTTCTCTCATGATTTTTCCTTTCTCTTGTATTGTTATATTATCTTGATTATCAAAATGGGGATTGTGTCGCTTTTGCCAATGAAGCACTTCATGTTGTTAATTTACTTGATGCCTCCAGCGGTATTAATTCTTTTTTGTACTGTTGTGCTTTAGAGGTTATGCTATTTTTCAGTGGCCTTGAAAAAGAAAATACAATGGCCTGATTCTTCTTCCATTTTTTTATTCCTTTGATTTCATATAATTGTGTGCATTAGCTTCATAACCTTAATATTTTGCTGCTTATATTGAATCATTGTATGCTATATTTTAGATCTCCAGTGAAAACTACTTTTAAGTTTCTGTGAAGTGTTTTCTTCTGCCTACTTTATGTATTTGCTTTATTTTGAACCCTCAAGATATTCTTAAATTTATCTACTTGATCTTGGTTTATTCATTTGCGTTTGTTGTTGTTGACAGACCTGGACTTCTTATTCCACATGTTTTTCCTTGCTCGATACTGCAAGCTTCTTGAGGAGAACTCATTCAGAGGACGGACTGCAGATTTCTTTTACATGCTTTTATTTGGTGCCACTACTTTGACTGGAATTGTTCTCTTAGGTG